AATGTGTATTGATAATATTATCCACCAACTATTATCTATTATCTATGCGGCTATACCCAATATATAATAAATATATTACCATAACTAGTTACTACAACGCGCGTCGTCACTAAACACAAACTAACAACTTACTATTTTCATTGGTTATAAATATTATAGTATTATTATTAGTGAATCGCGGAAAAAACGACAAGGAAAAAAACGTCAGGTAAAAAACGTAAATTTTTATCTAAAAATCACAATCATGGTTTTTGAGTTTATTAATAAAATAATGGCACAATATTACTATAATTTTACAATAGACAGTTTGGTGAAATATAAAAATTAAAATTAAAATTAAAATTATAGATTATTAATTACAAATATCAAATAGTACCTATATAATATGTTATAGCTCCAGGAATTAAAAATTCGTATTCGAATAATTAAAAAAGTTTACCTCGTGTTTATCAGCTATATGACTATAGACTTTTCCAATTTGAGGATGTCCAATCTGTAAGTGCGTGTACATTGTTCCGCGACATTTCAATGAACGTTCTTTTGTACATATCCACGTTAATCGTTTACGTCCTTGATGTTTCATTATATATGTATATCCTCTCCAACAAACTCTGTTCCCACCTTTGTTGGACTTGATAACTTCCATTTTTACAACAAATTACGGTTATATATCACGTATTCACGTCGAAATGCAACTGACACAAAATGTATGGATGTTTCAGTTTATATCGATAATCCTACCACCGTTATCCAAAGTAATTAATTTTAAACCTATATTATACCCAATATACTCAATAGGATTTTACGTATATTTTTGTATATATATATTTCCTATCTACGACAGTTATTTGGTATGGGTTATCGATTAGACGCTCGGCCTGTAATTTTTGTTACCTAGTATAATAATAATACTATAGTGTCTCCCTATAAGATTTGTACTTAATAATGTTCATAGGCTAATGACCTGTGATGTTGAAGCCTTTTTATCCTAATAAAAAAAAAAAATAATACTATAATAATATAAATACTATATTATACTGTATTACTTATTATAACTTATAACTTTGTCGTTTTTTTCCGTGACGTTTTTTACCCGTGTCGTTTTTTACCGATTACCATTATTAGTAGTACCTACCTATTATTATTACTACTAAAGTACTAAAGTATTTTAATCAATGGTATTAATAATAATATAATAAATAAAATATATAATTTTAAATTCGAAATCGATAACAATAGATTTTATATCGACCGGCTGCGGGCACACGTTCAATAGCACACGTACGCGCATGCACAGGTCAACGTAATCACTCTCAAAAAATATTTTTGTACACTGGCAACAGTGAAAAATGCTAATAAGCTGGCAAAAAATACACATACTTCTAGTAGTCCAATTTCAATTTTGAAAAATTATTTGAATTCGTCAGACTCTTTTCTATGATTTGTAGGAAACCGATTTTGGATATTTTGGATAATTTACGTATATTACGGTTCCAAATGACTGCTTGATTTCTCGAATTTAATTGGCACTTTTAAGTGCTAACAAGACGAAAAGATGAAAAACTTTTTCCTACAGATCATAGAAAAGAGGTTAACGAATTCAAATAAGTATTCAAAATTAAAATTTGACTACTAGAAGTATGTGTATTTTTCGCCGGCTTAATGGTCTAAATGCATGAAAAATACAATCGTATAGAGCCGCCTTAAGTATGGTAATTTAATGTACTTATAGTTATGACCATAGGCTTGCGCAGACTTAAATTTCTGGTCGAGCCTAGACAAATTATAGTGCCCCATTTTTTTTTTAACACACCAACATACATGTTGATATATTAACCTATTAATGTCTATAGTACTATTAGTACTATAGTTATTGTATTTGTATAAAGGTAAAATGTTTTTTTTTTTAGATTAATAAAATGTATGTTGTGGAGACGTTAGGTAGGTACACACAAATATTTTTGATTTTTTTATACTTTCACGAGAAACACAATTTTCATGATCTCCACGAACATATTATTATAATATAAGCATTATAATAAAATATTTAAATATATAAACACATTTTATTATGCCCCTAAAAAGTTTCAGGTCGAGTCTGGGCTTGGACACGCCTATGGTTATGACCAATGATATTTTCAAAATATTTAGATTATTTTTATGCTATTAATTATTTCTACCATGAACCTATTCACACTGTTCTGCTGTAATGTGGTATACTGCTGGTATTGGCTCTAAAGGTAATGACAATATTATAGTATTATAGAAATAAACACACTACTATACAATAGGTAATTGAATAATAATCGTATAAGAAATGCCATGTTTTCGTAAAAATTAAATATATCTATTAAAATTAAATAATACTATTAGTAAATTAAATCAAATTACTTTAATGGGTAGTATAATCAAGTGAGTACCTAACCTTTATGTTTTTTCTGTTTCAGAATAACTTTAATTTTTACGAGCGTTTGAATTAAACATTTTTACGATATATTATGTTATAATTTTCATCTACTAATAGACTCATTACACATTACAAGTTTTAATAATATCATAAGTATCATAGACATGGGTTGTTATGTAATTATCCCCTTTTATATTATAAGACAAAAATATGTATGTACTATATGTACATAATATTATTATGTTTGTTGTAGCGCTGGTTATAATTGGTTTTCTATTAACAAATCGTCAGTTACAGTGCTTCTTGAAAGTAAGAATGATATTGTTCTGAAAATAAGTAAATAATGTATTAATAATTGAAAAATATTCAAAATATTATTATAACATTTAAAATCTAATATAGTTTGAAAAAAAAAATAATTTTCAACAGTGTTATTTTATACATTTTTACGGTTGATTATGACTTTATGAGCTAAAGTGAAGTGGTTAAGAGGATTCGATACAATGATTTTCTGTCTAACACATGCGTGACATAAGATTTTAGACGTCTCCTTTGCCAAACAAACCAATTAATTATATAATGAAGCGATAAGAATTCTAAAACAGATGTTAATTTGTCGTCAAGACGACTGGAAATCGAATTTCCGAAATGTTTGATATTTTGAATTAAATTTTTCCAGATATTTAAATATCACATTTTAGATTCTGAGCGGAGCGATGTATTGATTTTACAATGATGCGAGTGTTTTTTTTTTATTTTTATTATTTTTATTTGTTTCTGTGTACTCGATGAGTAGTCGAAATAATGCTTTAATTTTCAACTTCAGTATCTTGTTTGATGGGAAAGTGAATCTAGTTGGTGCATCGGGAAGGTCAAAATTTTAAATTCCCAGTAATTTTCAAAAACGCCAGGATAAATATCAATAAAATTGTGTTTTTTGGGCCAAACAGCGTCAAAATGTAATGCAAGGATTCTGATCTATTGCTTAAATATTAGTTGAAAAATATTATAAATACATAGGCACAATGTTTTGACAACATTTATCAAGTTTAAAATTAATAATTATTTTGTAGTTAAAAATGTATAAATTGTTCAACTTTTAAAGCCAAGAATTTAAAATAATATAAAGGTTCCAAATAAATACCAAATAGGTTATAAATTACTTTATTCACAATATTACCATCAAATATAGATACTTAGTAATATCATAGGCTGACTGACCGTCTCCGTGCAGAACTGTTTTTCTTATACAATGGTATTACATCATTGAATTCAAATGTAACACCATCCGTTACAGTGACCCACTTGTAATCTACTGTACAGCAGAGCGACACCTACTGGCCCACATTTTTTTTTTTAATATTAAGTTTTTAGAAATTTGGATGATAATATCAACAATTTGGGAAAGTCGATTTCAAGTACACAGAATTTTTATCGCTTTATTAGATCAATGGGTGTGTTTGGTATGTTCTAAAATCCTTTGACGCCCGTGTGTTAGAGAAAAAGAGATATCCAGGTGTCCCCTTAGTGTCAACTAACTTTTAACAAAAGGGGTAGGGGGAAATCGAGGTGCAATTGAGCCAAATATAAGTTTATTAATAAATTTGCTCTTAGCCAAACTGGGATAGTAACAAGTCATCTTTAATGCAGAATTAAACTCTCGGTCTTGTAAAATATATTCTAAAAATTGTATTTAAATATATAGATAGAAATATATTGATTTAGAAACTAATTCAAATATATTTCAAATATCTACTTTTAATAAAAAATATTTTTAAGAAAAAATACTTAGTACATATTAAAGACTTTTATTTTTCCTTATTTAATTGCACAAGTAGGTAAAGTAGAAAAAAATGTTTAATTATAGTAACTAATTTAAAGTTTTAATGTCAAATTAGCTGGTATCATTAGAACTTAATACTGCTTAAATTCTTTTTATTGTAATGAAAATTGAAAAATAGAAAATTGTGTTGTTTTTTAAAATAAATTAATATAAATTAAGCAATAAACTATTACTAACAAAATATAAAATAAATAAATGCTTAATAACATGATTTTAATTACAATTAAAAGAATATAATTACTTACAAATAACAATGTACCTAACTACATAATCATTTTTTTGGATTTTGAAAAGTATTTACACGAAACATGCTTAATTTAAAATGTATTTAAACATATTTACTCAAATACCTTTTTTAATATAATATATTTTTTTACATAATTTTGTCTTGTTACAAAACTCTATTTTTTTACTATTTTCATCAACATTTATTGAAAACGTTTGATGGGAATGTGTATTTTTAGTTAGTTATTCCAAAGCAGACTAATTTTTTGAGTATACTTAGAATTTCTCACACACATAAAAATCGAATTTCGGACGAGTAGTTTTTGAGTTACGTTTATCTTTTGCTCATAATTCATAATACATCCAATAATCCTCTGCTTTGGAATATCCAATTAAAAATGTATCTATTTTAATCTAAAAGATTAATCCCAAAAATGTGGTTTTCTATAAAGACTTAAAATAATGTAAAAGAAATATTTTCAAAAACATTAGTGTTTTCTGAAACAATGTGTTTATTTTATGAACTCATCCGAATAATACAAACACGAAGGTGCCAAGTATCGCCGAAAAGAAAATGAAACAATTGGCGAAATCGTGGATCGTCGTAACGTAGACCGCAGTGTACATCGGTGAGTATAGTAATACACCAAAATTTTCGATCACAATTAAGAATGCAAATATTTTACCTGAAATCATAAAACACATTGTAACAACGGCGGAATACAAATTTTAGTCTTATAACTTGTAAGCCAAGGTTTTTGCACCGGCCTTCCAAGCTAATTAATGTTTAGAATATAATATATGTATTATATTATTTCCATTAAGTTTCCATTGTTTTAAATTTTATTGAATTAGGTGATTAAATACAATTAATTAATTATTTCGAATTTCGAGAGGAGCAATAAATGTATTGATGACAGACACAAAAAAAAAAAAAATTAAAAAAAACACACATCATTGTAAAATCAATACATTCAACTTTCCACTCAGAATCGAAAATTCCTTATAGTGCAGGGAAAAAGGAAAATGAAGGAAAACAGGAATTTTTACGAAAAATCGGTATTTACAAAATCGATTTTGGTTTTTGGTATAACTCTAAAACCAATAAATAATTGTTTATATTAGCATTTTTTTATCATTTTCTATACACGATAACATTTTCGAAAAGTATTGATTTATTTATTTGTTGCAGTGTAAAAATGCTTGAAAACTTAATAAAAGGACCTAATATATTGTCACAAATACATTTGAAAATTATTAAAAACCTATTTTCACAATTTTTTTTTATAAGCATTTAAAGTTCGAATTTTGACAAAAGGAGTTATAAATTCACTAAAATATGCAAATTATTTTGAGTTATAAATTCCTAAAAGTTTTTCCATTAAATCTAAGACTTTAAAATGGAATACAAGATCTACCTTTATTAAAAAAAACGGTCTATAAAAAAGTCATTTAAATTTTCATGATGGTTTAAAGTTAAAATATCTACAACATTGGATATTCTCACGATTTCTCATGTATAGCGTTTTCTCATTTTATTGGAATTCAAAAACAAATAACCGCAGACACTTGAGATTTAAACCATATTATGTTTATTTTATAAATTTCTATACTTGATAATATTTTGACTTGTTTTGAGCTGTTTACAGAAAATTACTAATTTTGATTTTTTTTCGTTTTTTTCTATAAATATCAAATAATTTTATTTGTTTTACTAAAAATCATGATAATTTAATACAAAACTCTTAATATATTATTACAATAGTATTTTAAAAATATTACAAATATATAGGAACAATGTTTTTTTATAAGCACTAAAATTTCGATTATTGACAACATTTATTAAATTTTAAAATGATTTTGTAGTCAAAGATTTAGAAAACGTCTTTTCGGTAACCGTATTAATAATATGTAATAAAAATATAAATATAATATAAAATATCCCAGACTGACACACCGTCACCGCTAAGAATCGTTTTTCGTATACAATGATATTATAATATCATTGAATTCAAATTTAATACCATTCATTATACAATGACCCACTTGTAACCTATTTCAGAACAGTTTCTACGGTGATAAACAAACAGTTAGAATTTAAAATCCCATTTTTAGCTGTTATTTGTAATTTGTCGGTGGTTTTTCCCGTGGCATTAACTAATTATTGAGAAAATCAAAAAATTATCTTTTGAGAGTACCATCTTGATAAAATTTGCTAGCTAAAAGATAAGATACTCTATGTTGAAATTAAAGCACTCAGTAGGTAGACATTTTGTATACAGGATAAAAAAAAAAATCAACACTATTGTAAAACCACTAGCTTCCTCGCTCCTCTCAGAATCTAAAAAATGTAAATAAATAAACATACATTTTTTAAATAAATTTATATTTAATTTCGTAACCTCACTATCCTCTATAAATGTTGGCCCTCGATGCCAAAGCGTATCTCAAATTTGGCCGGCCGTAAATAATTATAATAATAAGTTTAATATATATTATATATAAGGGTTAAAAATGGACTATTTTATAAGTGCGTGCGTCGTTACTTGCAGATAGGCACATAGGTACTAGAAAAGTTGCTTCTCGAAGTTAAAAAAGTTAATTATTTTTATATGAATATTGCCGCCCGAGTCCCGACTATAATAGACAGTAAACCGTCAACGGTTATTTAGTACTGTCCATTGTTTAAATAAACTTTAAGATGCAGTTTTTAATGTACAGGTTAAATTTTAAAACGTTACTTGGCCCTCTATACTGTAGGAAACGTTCTGCGAACGTACGTACCTATTTAGTGAAATCAAATTATATAATAAATTTAATTAACTGTTCTCGTGATTTACGGTGCAATTCGACATGTCAAAACCATTGAAAACTGAATTGTGGTATGGTAAGTTAAAATTAAATATATACATTCATATTAGATTGCTAAACATTAATTTTAGACATAGATTTTTGTTCAGAAATAATTCTTATGAAATTACTTAACGCGTTACAAGCAATTTATGTAATTTAGTGGTTTGTTATGGTAAACGAACACTTTGTACTATATATTGTTTGAGTTGCGTATACCGCGGACATTTTGAAAGGTGAAAATAAATTGATGAAAATCGATCATGGACACTTTGTATAGTGAAATTAAATTGATAAAACTGAATCGCGGACACTTTGTACGAAATAAAAAAACCCAGGAAATATATTTTGCAAGATAAGATAAAATTAAATTGCTCAAACTTTAGATCGCTAATCGTGTTCGCAAAGAGTAAGGGACATGAGTTTGGTGACACAGACGCGGTACACCATATACAACCCTCGGTACACTAAAATACGATATGAACCAAAACCAGACTAAACTTAATCCAAAAAATTTTAAATATGGATGTGAATATACTATTTTAAGAATAAATAATTATAATAATAAAATAATTGCGATTGATAACGAGTTTAGAAATTGCCTAAATTTTAACCCCTGAACCACACTATAGTAGTAGCAATTATTAAATAGGTAGCACCAGCTTATATTTACATGTATCTTCAGACGGGAGGCACTTGGATAATTGAGACCGAACCAACGATTGACTGATTTGGGCTGCGTATCCAACAGTTTTCATGGCGTAAAATTGCCACCGGTGCACTGAGTACGCCAAACCAAACTTTTCGAAAATTCCCACAGCTGCAACAGCGGTACCGATGTACATTTCGGCCAATTGCAGTTTGGTGTTCAGAACGTACAGACCGATCACGGGCATTGTGGCTGAAATAATATCGATAAACAAATGCAACAGGTAGGTATACACAATCACATAATGTGTGATACTTTCGTCCCCTAACCTTGTATCAGTGTCGTATATGCGAGGAACGGCGTAAAGTTTTCCAAAGTCCACGAAAATTGTTTCTGTAGGTACATGTACATGAACGAAGCTTCTCCTAAGATCAAATGCAATATTATTATTATAAATACATTGGATTTAGGTAGGTGTGTCGGATTTGATTGATATATTATTATAGTACTTAATTTATTTGTATACGAGTAAAGTATTCAATAATGTTTTTGTCTATAACATTGGCCAACTGGAAAATTGTTTGTGCAGGATGATTGTTTAAGCATGCTCAGTGCTCGCCCCATATTAAGATTATGCATACATTAAAAAGATGTTTTTGAATACTTCGATTTTTCACAACACTTCGCCCTGTGCCGATACCAGCTACACTTTTTAAAATGAAAACCTATAGGTATATATTTTAATGCAAATTGTGAAACAGATGGTATTTCTGAAAATGTTGACGTTTTATAAAATTTGAATTAAAAGTTTCCGAGTTAGGTATAAGAATGTAAAATATATTTTTTCAATAATTATTATTACTTAGTTGAGTATACTCGGAAATTTTTTTAATATAACATAATCCTTATGGATTTATACCGCGCCCAATAATTTTTAAAACAAAAGTAAATAGTATGCTTTTAGTAGACTATTATTTTTACTATTTAAAATAGAATATCTCATAAACACTTTGTTCACATTTTGATTAAAATTTAGTAGGTATTTAAAATCCGTCAAAGAAAAATTGTCTAATTCACAATTTGTATTATAACTTGTAGGTTCTCGTATCAAAACCCAAAGCTGGTATCGCCTAGGATACTCCTTAAATGTTGTAAAAAGCCTAAGTATTCAAAAATATCGTCTTTCACTAAATTACAAAACTTCAAAAAAAAACAGAATTTGAATATTACAACATATAATTATTATTTAAAAATAAAAATGGGGTGAGCTTGCTTAAATACCCAATATCCCGTATACCTATACTTACCAAATTCAACGATCAAATTGAGAGTTAACAACACTGCAGACAGCATAATTATGCATCTCAAGTAGCCATACCGTTGTTTCGTAACAGTTTTCCACATATCTTTTACCAGTTTAATGTTGAAAAGTCTTGTATCCGCACCCTATATAAAAATATCGAAACAAAATTTGAAAAACATTTGAAGCATATAATTACAATTCGAAGTAATGCTGACGGCCGTGAGATTTTCTCTCACGGTGTTTTCTACATATTTTTCCAACATTATAGTTTATTAAGTCTACTAATGCCACGAGATGAGTATCTATTATTTAATTATTTACATTTGATTTCTGGGCCTTAGAAATTATATGGAATATTAAAAATCAAATTCTTATGTTAAGCAGCTTAACCAATAACCATCTTAACCAGAAACAAAAAGCCACGTGTCATGTGCGATAATTATGTTTACCAGTTTTATATGGTCGGTTGTTTTGTAATTGGTAGCGGTTATTAATCGAGAAAAGTATTTAAACACTTTAGTGTTTACAGATTTTATTGAACTGATTATAAGCGCTTATACAGTCGTCAATAATTATATATAATTAAAATTATTAAATGTTTTAAAGTATTAAATAGTGTTTGAAAAAAACATACATGATTGATATAAATTGACTATACATAGCTATATTACATTATATGTATAATATAGAAAAACACAAGTATGTTGTAAACATATTTTCACCGATATCGATTTTTGTGGTCAATATTTTTCTTGAACATAATACCTGACATAATATATTATTATAGTGTGTACTGTCATAATATCAATAACAGAATACATATTATTATCAACGCATTCAAATAAAAGAAGGTGGGTAACTGGATGTCGCTCAGCGGTCTGCTGTACAGTATAATAATAGAAATAGATGATATTAAATTTGAATTAAATGATATAATATCATATTGTATACGAAAAACGATTCTGAGCGGAGACGGATTGTCTGTGTGGATATTTTGTGTTATCATTGATTAAATATACATAGATAGCCCACGCCGTGTGATTTATTGGCATCGATTTTTGAATGGATTTGGATCTGAAATATTTTAGTTCTGGATTTCTGCCACCAGGTGGTGATTTGATTTTAAATTTTAACCTTTTTGCAACTAGGATCACTCGACCAAAGGTTCGAATTTTACAATGTGGATGATAAGATTATAAAATATTGATTAGAGAAAATATGAATAATATGATTCTAAATCAATATAATAAAGATTTCCGAATGTTTGCGGTTTGTCAATTGTCGGGTATTGAATGATAATTGTTAACTTGCAATAAGTAATAACTAATAACTGAACCTGGAATTTGGGAATAAGTATTAACACAACCTAAACTCTTGAAGTTGAAACTGAGTCGTAGTCTGGAAGTTTATCTGTTATAACGTTAACATCAAAATGTCTCGTGGAAACAAATGTGTTTATTATTTATGTGGGAAGAATCCAAGACATAATGCTAACTTAAGTTTATTTGGATTTCCAAAAGATTTAGAAAGATCGAGACAATGGATTAAAAATTCTGGTAAATTCGAGATACCCATATATTTTGTTGCAATACATTGTAAAACAAATTTAAATTGAATAATTAATTTAAATTAATTAAATTAATTTTAATTATACTTCAATATGCTATATTATGCTGTATACCTGTATGTATTTTTTTCTATGAGTATGTGTACACATTTTATAGCAGTAAAAATTCTTCGATATTTAACTTTGAGGGAAGTTTCTAGTTAAAAATTGAGTGTAGTTTGTCAACATTGATAGTTTCAAATATTTTTCAAAATTATCAGTAAAACCAATGGTGTGTACCACACTACCACTCCGCTGTAGAGCATTGAGTGGATCACTGTAATGGGTGTGTTAAGTTTGATTTCAATGATATATCATTGTATCTATCATTGATTATATTTAAAATACTTTTTATTTTATTGTATATATAGGTGGGTAATTAATGATAATATCAAAAAACCAATACTGAGCCAAAATAATATGTTAACCCAGGATATTTTATAATACAACAATTACACTTTATATTTGATCCGCTCAGGATCTAAAATTTAATATATATTATCTACATCAATTTATTTTGTTTTTATTTTACCAAATTATGTTAAACCAAATATAATTTATATGAATAGTTAAAGTTATTATTCGATATTATTCAATCCAAAGAAATTAATTGTTTGAATTTCATAATATTTAATATTATAATTTCTATGACTGTCAATATTTCTACCTTTTTTTACAGGAAACACTGATCTTATACATTTAGAAATTGAAGATTTAAGGAAAAAAAAAATTTGTTCTGATCACTTTTTAGCTGATGATTATTTAAATTTCTCAAAAAAAATTTTAAAGCGTAGTGCTGTACCAGTGCCGTATGAACCTGTAGTGCCGTTTCATGTACGCTCACCAAAAAAACTCTACACATATCCTTATAAATCTTCTGAGAATATGTGCAATTTAGATCCATCTTCAATTTCAAATTATAAATCAACTCCTCTTTCACCTTCATCATTTAAAACTCCAGTCAAACAAAAATTATCATTTATTGATAATTCTGATTCATGTTGTCTTAACTTTGAATCGCCAAAATCTATTCATTTGCTAACACCAACAAAAACTAATTTAACAATAGGATCAAAAGATAACACACCAATTTTAACTCCAAAAACTCGATCATGGTTAGATAGTACACTTAATATGCCAGAATCTTCATCTAATTTTGAAAAACAAATTCAGAAACTAACAGAAACTACAAAAAAACAATCAAATTACATTAAAAAAATGAAAGAAAGAATGGAATTTAAACAAAAAGTGATTTCAAATAAACGTTCAACCATAGCAAAACTTAAAAAAAATCTTAAAAATTCAAGACATTTATTTAAAAACAAAAATATTTTTAATTCTTCAAGTTTTCCATCAACCGATTCTCAAACTCTGGTTAAAATGCAAATCCGTCAAAACATCAGTAGAAAACCATGGACAAACCTTGAAAAAGATTTTTCCCTTAGACTTTATTACAAGTCTCCATCAGCTTACAAATTTTTAAGATCAACAAAAATTAATTTACCTGGTTTAGCAACAATTAAACGTTGGGTTGGTGCTTCTAAATTTAGGCCTGGTTTTAATTCTAATTTATATCAACAAATAAAAATGAAAGTTAGCTCAATGACATATGAAGAAACATTTTGCACCTTAATATTTGATGAAATGAAAATTAAACGATTTTTAGAGTATTCAAAGGTTTTAGATACTGTAGAAGGTTTTGAGGATTTAGGAACTTTTGGGAGGACTTCAGCTATGGCAAGTCAAGCTATGGTTTTTATGATAAGAGGAATTTATTCATCGTGGAAATTACCAGTATCATATTTTTTATCTTCTACATCGATGAAAGCCACTACTCTTTCAGAAATAATTTTAGAACAGATTAATCAGTTGATGACTTGTAAGCTCCATGTGAAAGCAATTGTATGTGATCAAGGACCTAACAATAGATCTGCTTTAACCAAACTTGGTTTTACTAAGGACAAACCCTGGATTGAAGTGAATGGAAATAAAATATTTTCAGTTTATGACGTTCCACATCTTATAAAAAATATAAGAAATAATTTTTTAAGTAGTGATTTTATATTTAAAAATAATAAAGTTTCTTTTCAAGATATAAAAAAAACATATATGATTGATAAAAGTAGTTCAACTTCTCGTTCTCTTTTAAAAATTACTGACTCTCATATTAATCCCGGCCCTTTTAAAAAAATGTCATGTAAACTGGCCTTACAAATATTTAGCAAGTCAATGTTTGCCACTATGCGTACTTGTATTATGACACAAGAGTTAAAATCGCCAACTGCCGCCCATACTGCCGAGTTTGTAAAAGAAATAAATAACTTATTTGATTGTTTGAATAGTCAATCTCTTTATTGTTCAAATCCTTATAAATGTGCTATTTCTGAAGAAAGACCACTAATACGTTTGCAATTGGAAGAAGCTAAACGTTGGTGTTCACAGTTGAAAAAATGTAAAGGCCATGGTCGGCCATATACTTTTGATGGTTTAGAGTGGACAATAAATGCAATATTGGGTGTGTATGAAGAACAAAAGAAAATCGGTTTTCATTACTTGTTAACTGCTCGCTTAAATCAAGATGCTATTGAAAACTCATTTTCAGTTTTTCGGCAAAAGGGTGGATATAATAATAATCCAACAGCAAGGGCTTTTAGAATAACTTTCAAAATGATGACAAAAATGCATCTGATGAAACCTTCAATAGCTTCAAACTGTGAGGCCGATAATGACCATAATATCTTAGAAGTTGATTCATATACAAATGTATTGGAAAATAATGACAACAATGATGATTTAATGGATAGTTCATCTTTGTCTTTTTCATTTGATGATGATGAATCTATTGAAATTCCTATGGTATCTCTGTCTAAATGCTCTGATAAATATTTTAGTGGATATTTGGGTAAAAAATGCATTGAAAAATTTAACTGTAAAAAATGTCAACAATTTATGCTAACAGCCACACCAATTAATTTTAGTGATGAAGATTATTTAATTTTTTGTAGAGCATATGGATCAAAATCAGGTCACTTTGGCTTGAATGTACCAACAGATGATTTTACAAATTATATTTCACATTGTCAAAAATTACTGGCTAAAATTGTTTTAAAAACACCTCATAAACTACAAATTGGATTAAGTGTTAAAAAGTTGATTGTTAAAAAAATATGGCCCAATCTTGATATTGATTCAGAATGTACATCTCATTTAGAATTTGTTACAATGCATCTTATTGAATGTAAATTGTTAAGAGATTTTAACTGGAAATCAAGAAATATGAAAGTTCAAACCTTATCAAAGTTAAAAATATTAAAAAATGTTTGATCAAATTTAGTTAAGTATACAATCAATGTGTTTTTTTTTTAATTGTATTTTATTATACTTTACTTCTATATTATTAATTATAAGGTAATTTATTATAAACGACTTAAATAGTTCAATGTATAATAAATAAATAAGTCTTCAGCTGGAATTTCAATTCCGAAAAAAAAAAGTAAATTAAATAGTTTTAAAAAGTTACATAATATTGTATTATATATCGGTTAACTTTAACCGGACATAGTATAAGAACTAGCCTAATAATAATAATAATTAATAAATAATAATAATAATAATCTTTTAGATTATTTCTTATCTCATTGATTATTTCAAATTTCCAAGAATGAACTCTGAACAGTCTGAACTGACGACGATTTTCGGCACTACTGTTATCACTGGTATTTTTAATATTTTATTTCCAACATAAATAATTTAATTTTCAACCGTGACTCTGCACGCCCTCTATTGACATATTATGCTATTAATTAACTAGTTTCCATAATGCTGATTGACGTGGGCTATCTATGTATATTTAATCAATGGTGTTATATTTATATTGTTATTAGTTATTACTTATTAATAAGTAATAACTTATATTGGATATATATTCAACTATTAGAAAGTGGACAGTCTTATGAATAGGGCTCGGAAGTTGATGACCTTAAAAATATAGAAAAATGACCTAAAAAAAATGCAAATATGACATAAAAATGTCCTCAAAAAATGACCTAAAAAAATTACAAATATTTGTTTTAAATTTATGAAAATACATTTTTTTTTAAATATTTTACTCTATTTTACTATAAAATTCTATATACCTACATTTATCAAAGCTTACAAATTTCTCAAAATAAGACAGAAAAATGACAAATAATATCCTTAAAAATGAAATAAAAAATATTTGTTTGAAAACGACGCGACGACTATAATCGGCAAGATAAAATCGGATACTAATCGATTATTAGGAAAAAATAATAAAATTTAGGTATGATAATATTCACTACAACACGACAACGATAAAATGTAATTGGCGAGATAAAATCGGATAGGTACTAATCTTAGTCAGTGGTAATTTTCAAGTTTTAAGTTATAGGCATAGACAAGACACGATAAGAAGTGAACTAGTGTGAAATCTGTAAAAATGACTAAAAATGTCGAAAAATGACCTAAAAATGTCAAAAAAAAAACTTAAAAGTAAAAAAAGCCAAAAAATTCATAAAAATGCAAAATAAAATTTATTTTTTCAGATTCCCATGCTAAAATGAAAAGCATTTGTGGCCAGGAGAGCATCTTCTTAAAAGTTCCAAAAAAAAAATTCAAAATGCCTAAACTTCCGAGCCTTAGTTATTATTAATACTGTAGCCGGTAAGTTGAATTATTATTAACAAATTACAACAAAATAACTAAAATCGTTATCCTTCGTCGTAGATAATATGTAATTTCGTCCAAATTTGAACATAAAGAAACTATAAAAAAAACGTGTTATTTTTATTTTTGAGATTCTTTGGTTACAGAATATACTACTTACGTGGAACCTTGTTTTAAATTTTCAATCCTATTATAGGTATAAAAGTTGTCAAAAATCAAAATTTAAGTGCATATAAAAAAAAATTGTGCTTGTATATTTTTAATATTTCAACTACTATTGTAACAATCAGGAGCTTTGTATTAACTTTTCACGCTTGCGGTAAAACAAAAAAATGTTATGTAACTATACGGTCATTTGTTCTAGTACCAAAAGCCAAAATCGATTTTGTAGAAAAAATTCCTGTTTTTATTAAATATTTATTTTGTTTTACCCTGCGCTTTTGAAAGCTATTAGGAATTTTTTACCTTTCCTATCAGAAAAGATACTTTTGAAGAAAATCTAAGAACTTTTACTGTCATAAATGGTGATGACACACATAAATATACATATATAAGCACATATCATTATAAAATCAATACATTCATCACTCCGCTCAGAATCTCAAACAAAACATGTACATAATATATTCGTATAATGTAAATTGTATTTATATACATATTAATTTGAATTATAATACGGAATTATTGGAATTGATATAAAAACAAGACGAAAAGCTTCCTGAAAGAAGTTTGTATCTGTATTAGGTATATATATATAATATATATTCATTAAAACATTGTATCCGCTGGAATCATTTCGATTAGCTCATATGGGAAAAACACCGTTTTATTCAGTTGTATTATTACCGTGTTATTAAGTGTCGAGATGTAATGATTTTCAAATTAAAATCTCAATAAAAGAAGAAAAAAAAGAAGTTTGTCAGGACAACATGACATAAAGCTGAAATAATAAAGGACCTGTTTAAAACAGGACGCATATGGTCTCCATATTTTATAACAAACTGTTCATACAAGTAATTGGAAATTTGCTTACAACTAAAACCTAGACATGTATGCTAATAATATTTACTATTTAGCACAATATGTTATATTATGATACGCTCGTGAAATTGTTATTAAAAAATCTTAAAAGCTATGATAAAACAAGAAAATAGGTAAACCTCTTTGATGACCACTGTTTCCTTTACAAAAATATACGTATAGATAAGTCCAACGATGGAAACAAATGATTACAGGCAAAAAGAATAGGTAGTAGATTTACCGTACAATATTGAACTCAGTACAGATCCAAGTATTGAGCCAAAGCTGGAAAATGCATACAACACGCTCAACCTATATGTGGACAAAAATTAACGATTAAGTCACGATCTAATTAAAATAATATAATCATAAGTTTAGTATATCATACAATGTTCCCGGGACAAAGTGACCATCAAGCTTCATATGAAAACAAATATAGGTAGGTACCTAATGTAGGTAGAAAAACGCTCTTTAAAGAGGGGGCGGGTAGGTCGAACTGTTTTGTTAGACAAACTCTAAATTTCTTTTAATAAATCTGAACTTACTGCATGTTTTGATTTAATAAATAATTTTATTTTCAAAACCTTGGCTTAATCATGAGTGTTATTTTTTGATAAGAAAATATAAATTAGCTATTAGATAAAAATCGAAAAGGTGTAATAGTTTTGATACCAAAAAAATGTTGACCAAATTGCGTCTATAATCCCGTCTAATCGAATCTAATAAATCATACTCGAAACGCTGATGTCGATTTATTACTAATTATACCTACATGTTATTATGGTTTCTTAAACCCGCTTAACCAGGACTTGCAAAAGTTATATTTGACGAAAAACGATTGCAGAAATTTGTAAACGTTATTATTATACGGAAAGAGATAATCGAAAATAATCAAATACCTTATAATACAACATAATGATTAACAAAATTATTATTAAACAAAACATAAAGCAAAATGTAATTTATACAGGGGCGCACCCAGGATTTTTTTTGGGGAGGGCTAAATATTCACATAATTTTAATATTAATAGGTAGTATTTATTTTGAAATATGTACAGAAATCTTTAAGCTTTTTTACAATCTTTTACTAACAATTTTTTTTTATTTTTGTCCCGGTTTTAAGTGTCGCCATAGCCTTGATGTTATACCTGTAAAACATAAATATTATTTATTTAATTATGAATAATATAATGATTATTTTTTATGAGTCTAACCTTTTAAATTATAAAGTTGAGACGCCTTGGTCCTTTTTTCCCCAATGCTGAGAGTACTTCTGAAGTTTGAACATCTATTTCTCTGTGAATATGAAGCATAGCTAATCCATTCAGTCGATTCTGACTCATTGTATTTCTCAAGTATGTTTTTATTCTTCTCAAAGTGGAAAATGATTTTTCTGTTGTACTGGTCGAAACAGGCAATGTTGAGAATATTTTTAAAAGTATAAATATAGTAAAGTTTCAAATAGAGTATCATTACACAAATTTAATGCATCGATTGCATTATGTGGTAATGAATGATTTGGGCATTGGAATTTTTTATACCATAAATCAAATTCGGCTACTGCAGGGTTAACACCATTTTCCGGTATATCATTTTTATAAAATTCTAAAAGTTTTAAATACTGTGATTTTTCTGTTTGATTAGGAGAATTTCCAGTTGGTAAAAGACACTTAAAACTTTTAATAATACATTTATGCTTTAAAAATAGGTCGGATATATTATTTATAAAAGAATCTAGCCATGGAATAAAAATGGCACGTCTATAATATTCTTCTTCATTTTCTGCTGGTACATTGCATCGTTTGGTTTGATTTTTTGTTAATCTGGGCATAGTAATTGTTAGTTCTAAAGCATTAGCAATTTCGTTTGCTTCGTCGAAAATTATTACAGTAAAAGTGCTTGGATTTTCTTCAACAGTATCTTTTCTGATAGGAAAGTGAATCCAGTTGGTACTTTGGGGGGTCAAAAGCAAAAATTTCACAGTAGTTTTCAAAAGCGCCGTGAAAAACAAAAGAAAAATTAAGGAAAAACGGGAATTTTTACGCAAAATCTGTTTTCGAGAAAATTGATTTTGGTTTTTGGTGTGACTTTAAAACAAATTACCGTAGATATATGAAATTTTCACTGGTTATTTATATTTCCATTTTCTATACATGATAAAATTTTCTAAATATTTTGAGTTATTTTGAGCTTTTTACGGACATTTTTAGTTTCCATTTTTTTTTTAGTTTTTTTTTCTATAAGTATCAATAAAATTTTATTTGTTGGGTATAAAAGCTTAAACATTTAATAGAAGGCTCCTAATATATCGTTTCAAAGACAGATGAAAAATATTAAAAATCCTTAGTCACAGTTTTTTGTTATAAGCATTTAAATTCCAAATATTGACAAAATACTTGAAAATGACGAAAATTTGCAAATTATTTCGAGTTAGAAATTCATAAAAATTTATCTTTTTAAATCTAAGATATGAAAATCTAATGCAAGATTCCTCATAAGTTTGTCTACCTTTATCAAAAAGAAAATGTTTACAAGAATCTCAAATTAAATTTTTATGAACGTTTGAAATTCATATTTTTACAACATTTGATATTCACTCGATTTCTTATGTAACGATTTTCTAATTTTGTTGTAATTAAAAAACGAATGACTGTATAAGATACTTGAAAATTTTACTAAATTTTTATATTAGCATTTCCTATACACCATATAGTTTTGAAAATATTTTGATTCTTTTTGAGCTATTTACGGATATTTTCAGTTTTCAATTTTTTTAATTTTTTTTTCTATTCATATCAATAAAATTTTATTTGTATGGTAAAAAAGCTTGAAAATTTAATGCAAAGCTCCTGATATATTGTTACAATAACACTTGAAAAATATTAAAAATACATATGCACAATTTTTTTTTATAATTATTTAAAATTCAAATTTTGACAAAATTTATCACATTTAAAATTTAATAATAATTTTATAGTTAAAAATTTATAAAATGTTCAACTTTTATAGCTAATGATTGAAAATTTATAACAAGATTCTACGTAAATAGGTTATATATAAATTGCTTTATTCACCTTAGTATCATCAAATATACTTAGTAATATCATAGGCTGACTAACCGTCTTCGCTCAGAATCGTTTTTCTTATACAATTATGTTAGTATATCATTGAATTCAAATTTAATACCATCGATTATACAGTGACCCACTTGTACCCTACTGTACAGCAGAGCACCTTTTTTTGTTTATCAGACTTAAATAACTTTTATTTTGGTTTTGATATCGGAAATATAAAAACAAAGTTACAGAGTACATTTTCTCATTTTTATAGTGTGAACATTTAGTTTCTTAGCTTAGAGTAGAGCCTGAATGTTTTTCATACCCGTGCAAAACAGTTTTGCCTATCGATGGCTAAGAGGCCAAAAGTTGTATGTCCCAAACACTAAATTTTTCGGGAGAGCAGTTTTAAGATTTTAAATTATTCTACACCAAATAATTTGCGTTGTAGACTTTTATTTTTCGGTGTTCCAACTGATTTATTTGTAAAATATTCTGTAGATTACATAAATTATTACTTTTAGGTTTTAAAATTTTTTCAAACGTAATTATAATGTTTCTTTTAAATTTAAATGGGACTTGTTATGAATGGCAATTATAATATATTTTTACCGTGGACATATAAGGTTTTAATGGACATATTAAAAGTTGTTAATTTAATATAAACTCTAATTAATTTATTACATAAATAGTTAAAATGTACGTAAGACTTATTTTTTTAATATAAAAAATTCAATTTGTTTATAAAATTGCAGTAAAAAAGTAAAAAATATAAAATATATTGGAATTTTTTATTGAATGTGAAAAATAAAAAGTAGCATTTTTCATCAAATTTTTAGTCAAATAAAACCAGTGTTTAATGATATTTTATGCTAAGTGAAGATATCATATTATTTAGTGTAATTTAAACTTAAACATTTTTATTATTTAAAATAATACGTCCGGACATATTATTTTTTTATAAATAGATAAACAAATTCAATATTATCTAAAACATTACACGTCCAAAATTCAATAAATTGTTTTTGACAAAAGTCCGGACTTGTTATATTTGTCCGCTTAATATTTAGATCATGTTAAAATATTTATCGTATGTCCCATTAAATTAGGACTTGTTATATGTGTGCACTAAAAAAACATATCTTGCACTAAAAACACAAAAATTAAAGTATAAATAAAACATGTTCTAATCATGATATTGACTTATAATGTTTTACCGAATCAAAAAGACGACCCAGATAAACACTATGAACTAATAAAACAATTTTGAGAAAAATTGGACATACAACTTTTGGCCTCTTAGTCATCGCTATGTTGTACCTACGTCTGTAATACGGAGACAACACATATGGGTGTACCTAGCGTCTTCTTTACAATCATACTGACTATTTGATACATTGCACTTTAGAAATTATTGTATACACCATACAAATTAAAACTAATGCAATGCAGAAATATTAGGATTAGGGGGGTGTGGGGGGCAAAGCCCCCCACGGATTTGTGAACCATAAATTATCCCAGCACCCCCTAAATTCACACCCAATGTGCGCCTATGTAGACAACAGAGGTCTCTCCCGGGGCCCGGAATGACAGGTATAAATATAATAAAATTATAAAATCAATGATATAATATAATATTATGTTATACCTAATGTTTCAATTTCGATAGTTGATAATTTTTTTTTATAACAATTGAAAGTAAAATGTCAATGTGTCAATAAACCTAATAAAATTATCAAAATGTTTGGGGCTAGCCATTTGTGCGCAATTGAATTTATAGAATGTCATTAAGCAAAACATAACGCAAATCGAAATATTTTAAAATCTATTTATTTAAAATGTCTATTGGTTTCTTAGAAGCATTTATTTAATGCAAACAATCTAAGAATTGATTATATATTATATTTCGTATCTGGGCCATTTCCTACCATCATTAGTTATTATTTTTAAACTAAATTCGTACCGTGGGCTGAGAGTAAAAAGGTTCTATGATATTTTTTTTTTTGAAATTCACTTTTTCAAATACTCCTTATAAGTTTTCAATGGCGCATGTTTTAAGCTAGAAATTAGTTTGATATGAGTAATAATAAATGATATACACAAAGCAGAAAGGTTCTATGTCTTTAAAATTAACATATTCATTATTTTTGAATGTATTAAATAGAACCTTTTTAGTTTTTACTCTATAACTTTTTTTGAGGATAAAAAGGTTCTATATTGAATTACAAAAACATTATTAAGAGTAAAAGAGTCCTATCACTACCAATAACACAATAATATCAAAATGTCGATAAGATAATTATTATTGTGTCGTGGTCAAAACAAGTATTTCCCATCCATAGATAATATTAATTATAAATATAGTAAGGTATAGAACATTACATGGTGTAGACGATTTTCTTCAAATTAACCTGTGTTCTAACAAGACTATAAATTTTATACAATCTTTAAAAAATATAAACTGAGCTGTATCAACTAAAATTAATCCAAAAATAACTAAAGAAAAAATTCAAGATATAGAGTATTTATACAAATGTATTCCTGAAGATGAACAAACATTTTATACTAATTTGTTCACAGATATAAAGAAACTTTTAAATAAAAAATAATACACACAAATTATTCTTAAAATTACGTAGCTCAGTATCTTATAAGTTAAAAAAATATTGTTTGCCTGACTGGTCAAAATTGTGTAATCTGCTATAGAGTAAATAGGTTCTATCTGTTAAATAAAAAAATTTTAGAGAGTAAAACAGTCCTTTGTATAGAACCTTTTTACTCCAAACTGTTTTTTTGTGGTTTTTTATTTTTTAAGAATTAACTAAAATAGTGAGATGCTATATTTTCATGTAATGTTGTTAAAGAAAACATGTTTGATTTTCAAGCCCTGTACTTAATTCAAATAGTATTATATAAGTAATATATTTATTGTATTCATTATCTGTAAGCTCTTGATTTGCAATCGGTGATGTCAACAATATAACACGATGCAGCCATAAACAATACACCATTGCCACCACTTACGGCCACAGGTATGCTGCACAGCATAAACATAATCGGAGACATACTTGGCATCGTGGAAAATACACTGTACATATACAGTTAGATATTACCAGACCTTAAGTTTGAACCGATCGTACAATGTACATTATTAAGCGCCGCATAATATTATTATTTAAGTGCGTACCAAAATGGAGATTATACCTCACCTGAAATTGATGTCAATAACAAAGGCAAGCGACCGCTTACATCACTCCAGGGGCCTAAAAACAATGCCGTCATACAAGGCACCAATGTCTCGATCAGATTTTTAATCATCCTTAACTCTGCCACAGCCGGCTGGACTATTTCTTGATCTGATGCCGTCATATTGTAACAATTCACAGACTTATTTTGCCCGAGATCGGCGAGATCACTATGAAGGCATACACGTTCTTCAAATAGATTAGTCTGCACCAACACTGAAATCAATAAATTAAATAAAAAATATAAACAATGAATGATATACCAATATAGTGGTTATAGGTTGCGGATAACGGGTAGGTCGTAGGTGGTAAAATGTATAGGATGAGTAGGTGGTGAAGTAGGATCTCGTTTCGGCTGTGTGATTCCCGAGTTTCCAATCGCAATTACAAATAGTCAATTGTTTTTTACTTTTGTTCAAATTTTTAAGAAAACTACGATTAGGTATTTAAATAGAAAGCGATGAAATTAGTTCTTTTGGTGTAATTCAAAAAATATTAATTTAGGTACCTACTTAAAACGCTTCGTCGTTTCATATATAGTTACAATATAAAAATGTAATAATATTTTTTCTAATTTTTGGCTATTTAAGCTTTATAAGCATTTGAAATTTTTGAATTTTTTTAGCATTTTTCTAAAAAATCATTACCTATGAAAAATTGCAAAAGCTTGAAAATAAAAGTCTAGCTAAGGTTTTCAATTTAATTAACTTAGGCTTAAAAATATGAAATTCCTAATAACTTATACTTAGAGCAATCTATATATAGGTATCAAAAATACAATTATGAAAATTTTTTTTCATAAATATTTAAAGTTCACAATTGAATAAAATTGGATTTTTGAACTTAAAATAACAATTTCTATTCGAAATATTAATCTAAGGACTCGAAACTATTTACTACTACGTATATTACTATTTACTGTTTTACATAGGTACACATTGAAATATTTAAAACATTTACCTAAATTGATTATTATAATAATATTTTATTTAAACCACAAATATATTATATTTGTAACATTCTACACGGTACGTTAGTGATATTTTTATAATATATATATATATTTGCTTTTGAAAATATAATCCATTACAATAACTATGAAGTATATTCAAAATAAACTATACAGCAGAGCAACTTCACCGGTTTTTAATTTAATTTTATAGTTTTGTAGATTCAGAACGGAGCAATGCATTAAAAATGTATTGATTTTACAACGTGTATGTGAATGTATTTTTTTTTGTCTGTCATCAGCTTTTGGAGCTGTAAAAGTGTTTAGATTTTAAACTTTCAGTGAGGTTTTTGATAAAAAAATTTCATTTACACTATTTTACTGCAACCCAAAATTTTGGCCCCGGGAAATTGTCGTCATTATTGCTCCACTATAAGTGCGGCTTGGACTTTAGGGGTAAAACTTAAGATTTTCCAGTATTTTTCAAAATAATTAGCATAAACAAAAAAAATGAGTGTGAATTATGGAACAACAATTTAAATTTTGAAACTTTTATCCAGAATTTTGATTTTTGTACCTACTTCTTTTTATAGAATTTTTAAGGCTTTATTATATGGCATTCGATTCACTTAGATATAGTCATAATTCGCGAGGACAAAAACCAACGTATAAATATACTCACTGTTTTTGTATACTCCGAGAGACATTAACATCATGATTGGCTCTAAAGTAAGACGGACTTGCGATTCTTGACTTCTACACCGTCGGAAGGCTCAGAGTCCATCTCTGTTTCACTATGAATATGATGGACGTCACCTCGTCCACCGTAACCGAATTCTCCACTAGGTTCTACAAAAACTCATAAACACATAAGGCTATAACCCTGCTTATAACCCATGTTCTGAATAGGTGAATGAAAAAAAAATTAATTTTTTTAGCATTCTAAATTTTAGCATTTGACCGTGTAAGCACAAGCGACCCAACACAAAAATAACCGATTTAAACGAATAAATAAATGTACATGTAATGAATATATCAGGGTTGAAACGTAGGTATAGGTAATACTGTATATTTTTTTTTTCATTGCTGCACTGATCAGCAGATATCAGGTTGACGTGATTTGTTAATATTAATTGTTACCAAGTCATCTTTATTAATAACTTAATTTATATATTTGTAATACCTAACTAAAGAGAAATTTGTTTTGATTTTATTTCATTCTAAATTCACCAAGTTGATGTGATTCGTTAGTTTTTTTATATTAGTTTATAAGTACCGATGTACTTATTAATTTTTAATTTTCAATTTTTTTTTAGTTTTTATTCTAAAAATATCGATAACATTTTTATAATTAAATCAAAAAGCTTGTTATTAGCTTTAATACAAGGTTCATCATAAGTTGTTATTATAGACATATAAAAATATTATTGATGCATAAGTACACATTTTTTTATATACATTGAGAGTTCAAATATTGAAAAAATTCATCAAAATCACAAATATTTGAAAATTATTTTGTAATATGAAATTAAAAAATGTTTGATTTTTATAGCTTAAAAGTTAGGATTGAAAATACTTGTTTCTATTATTGACGTAAAAATATAAATACAATGATAATAATATTATTATGTTAGCCCTTCTGGCCTTCTGGTTCAACAAATAATTTATATAATTTAAAAACTCACAGTAACACGACCAATTTATAGATGGTAATAATTAATAATAATAGTAAATTACACTATTTAAGGACCTTCTGGCCAAACAACTCGAAATATACAATGAATAATTGTTTTATTGACAATATTATAATAGCACTTACGGTTTTTTTCTGTTCAAAACAATGTTTTTAAGAAACGTTCGAGTTTTAAACAGTTTAAATGGCTTATTTAAAATGGTTTAAAACAGTATAAGACTCAAAAAATGAGTTTTATTTAAAACTTTTTGAACAGAAAAAACACATTTTAAAACAAAAAATACAGTTTTTTTTTTAAAGAAAACTTAATAATGACTAGGATTTTACACTGTTTTAAACATATGTTTTATTCGTTTTAAACAATTAACAAAACGTTTGAAACAAATGTTTTACATTTATATTTTAATTATATATCAACTCTGGTAATGAACTAATGAATAAATAATAAGGATAATGCTCACAAGGATGGGCATTAACGAGTTAAAAGTCATTAAGTTAACTAACTCATTAATTTTTTTTCAAATTGACTTTTAACTTAATAAGCCACTTTTTTTAAAGATGAAAGTGTCAACTTCAAGTTCATTTTATTTCAAAATTATCTGAATTAAGTTAATTTTCGACCGAAGAATAATGCAAATTTTTAAATTTGTTTTTACTTTGATGTATCGTTTTAAATTTCCCCAGTAATTTTCTTGAATGTAACGAAAAACTATCTAATAAACCATAGTATATGTCTGGAATTTTTTATTTTTGAAAATAAGCAAATTTTAACTTTACACTAAGTTAAGTTACTCTTTTTTAAAAGTTAACTTTTAACTTAATGAGTTAACGAAAAAAAAATACGAGTCACTTTTAACTTAACTTAATTATTCTAAAATAACTGAACGAGTTAAAAAAAATCGTTAACTGCAGGCCCAGCCTTGATGATCCATTTAACAAAAGCAACGCGAAGATTACTCAAGTCAATAATCGTTATTGTGGCCGGTTTGGCCTCACTCGATAATTCCATAAATATGAACAGGTTAGTTTATGAACTAATAAAAATTAACAATATAAAAAATAGCCTTTCTGGCTCGAGAAAATATTATGTAATAATATATCTAAAAAATGAAACTCACAATTTTGTGGAGCGAAGCGTGGCCTGCTGGTCCTCAGGTCCTGTACTATACCTATATAATAATACACAGTAATATTAGTGGCCCACTCGGCTTAAAAATATTGGTGGTTACTCGCGCCGACACAATAATAATAATAATGATAATATAATAACAATGGGCAATGGCAGAGTTTCGCGTCTACAATTAATTATATTAGTGGCGGTTAGCGCACACACACAGAAATATAATATTAAAACTTGCTCGTATGGCTCACAAGACTGAACAATATTATATGATACAATGATACTCTTATGAGATTTGGGCAAAAAATATAGATAGTAAAAAAACCGATGTAATCGACTCGTGAAAACGTCTGATTTCGAGGTGATTTGGCATTACATGGCGAACTAACTTGTTTTGGCTTCCCGACAACAATTAACAAGGCCGCCCAAAACAAGTTGGTTCGTCTTGTAATGCCAACGCGAAGACGGCAGAGCAGAATATACATAATATCGTTATATATTATTACTCACAGATGACACAATAATATTATAATACGAAAATAAAATTCAAAAATAACGGAGAACACAGTAGCTTCGCACGAATAAAAATATTTTTAACACCAAAAGTCCGCATGCCATACAATTTATTGTTTTGTAATATATAATATTTAGACTTAGAATAAAACACGAGACAAATAATGAAAACGGACCATATTATGGAGTGTGGGTGGTCCGATATGCATATATACGTACGCATTAGGTACATATATACCTACAATATACGCACTTCTTTTACATACACGCAGCACCTGCAACACATAAATAATATTCTACACCTCTCCGACCAGATATTTAGTGGAGACAACACAATCAAATATCAACGGCGCCAGTAAACACCGTATATTATAAAATCATGAAAGCATTCTTTCATATACATATACGTACATCACACGTGTACGTACACATACATATATATTATATACTTCCAGTCCCCTTCGATAATTCTCCAATCAAGACGTTCGGTCAAAACAAAACTATAAATTACCAGCTGTACCGTGGTCGCACCACACGAAATAATAAAAATATATCAATACTTTAATCGATGCACCAGAAGAAGGGATCAACCAAAATCACATTATATAAGGGCCACAGAGCATCGACTCGTCGCCAGTGTCTATTCCGGAGATACACATGGTCCACGACAGTCAACATCACGATCTTTTTCCACTACTGTCCAAGCCATCACTGTGCGTTTATGCGTATACAATATATGTATATTGAACCATTCCTTCACCCGGTATGTCTGTCTAAATTGGTTGTCTCTTTGTCAGTTAAATTAAAATTGTTCATCTTTTTACACTAACCTATCCATTGGTCTTTCAAAACATAAGGTTCTCTGACAGTCATCATATTATAGGTCTGTCACATCGTTATTACACATTTATGTTTTAGAACACGAGTATAGTAATAAGTGCTCTATTAACTTAAATTACATTCGGTCAGCGGTTGGACTATACGTACTAGCTGTCACGAATGTAGGAATTCTAAGAGCTGTGTTCAAGATATAAATGTGTAATACCAAATATTCATCACATTAAATTGCATTCGGTTAGTGGAGAGAGTATACGTAGGTACTCCTGTTACGAATGTAAGGATTTTGAGAATATATATGGTGACGGTCACAGGTAGAAATTATATACGAAATCCTACAGATCACATAAAAGTTTATACAAATATTGTCATCGTGATATCGACTGTCGAACACGACCCCGAAGAACTACAAACCACTTAAAAGAGAACCAGCTGCAGTGAGGTAAGTGTTTTGAATATTTATAAAAGTAGGTAATTCAAATATCATTAGACAGTTAGGTACAACACAGTAGTAGGGAGATCATATGCGGAAATCTCCAATATTTATTATAACACACATATCTCTCATCCCCTATAACCATTACCTTCCCCTACCGCCTATTTCCCCCCTTTACAACTAAATAGTTCCCCGCGTATTTTCTCCTTACTACAGTTTGAAATATCTTTTAAACACAAGAGCTCCAGATTTATCAATAGACCTACTAACGTGTCGCTACATCGGTGTAAACCCATATTGAAATAATTAAACTGTTATATCTGCAAAGCCACGTTGTCTAATCATTATTGTGTACCGATCAATAATTGTCCGTGTCTGCATTGTCTATGTCCTGTAAATATCGCGATTAATATATTATATCCAGTGGCGTAGCCAGGGGGGGGGGTTTTGGGTGTTTAAACACCCCCCATTGACATTTTCCTCCCTAATAAAAATATTGTTTATAGGGTTTGGGACTCCTCGCATTATTTTAGATAAGTTATAAATTTGTCTTATGAAATTTTTTAAATGGCTAATCAAACAAAGTTTGAATTTGCATATTTTAGGGAAAGTGTTCATTTGAGCGATTTTTCGCATATTTATTCATATTTTGCATTTTTCTAACTTAAATGTAGGTACTTACATACAATTGTCGGGAAAAATCATATTTGGATAACATTGAAAAATATCTTTAAAAATATTATGTTTGGTGAGGTACAATAGGCTCTAATTTTGAGATTTGGGGAGGCCGAAGCCTAAAACCATACTATTATAAAATTGAATTAAAAAAATTTAGTAAATGATTGGGAGGGCTGTTAAAGTTGTTGGTGGAGCTTGGCTATACGGTTTGCTATATTTTCGTATAGTTATGGTATGTAAGATTTCATAAGTCTCTTTGTAACAAGACTGTGTTAAAACTATAATAAAATTGATATCTACATTCTAGATTGTACGAAGAAATGAAAATCAGTAGATATACGTGTTCGTTTATTATATTAAATTAATTATATTCTTTATTACATATTTATTAACCTAGTATTTTATTCCAGTATTTTTAAAAATCAAGTTGATTTATTTC